TCCCCTTGTGCTGTGATCATCAGGGCGCTGTGGTCCCCTTGTGCTGTGATCATCAGGGCGCTGTGGTCCCCTTGTGCTGTGATCATCAGGGCGCTGTGGTCCCCTTGTGCTGTGATCATCAGGGCGCTGTGGTCCCCTTGTGCTGTGATCATCAGGGCGCTGTGGTCCCCTTGTGCTGTGATCATCAGGGCGCTGTGGTCCCCTTGTGCTGTGATCATCAGGGCGCTGTGGTCCCCTTGTGCTGTGATCATCAGGGCGCTGTGGTCCCTTGTGCTGTGATCATCAGGGCGCTGTGATCATCAGGGCGCTGTGGTCCCCTTGTGCTGTGATCATCAGGGCGCTGTGGTCCCCTTGTGCTGTGATCATGCTGTGATCATCAGGGCGCTGTGGTCCCCTTGTGCTGTGATCATCAGGGCGCTGTGGTCCCCTTGTGCTGTGATCATCAGGGCGCTGTGGTCCCCTTCCGTGCTCCCTAAGTCTTCCGGACTCTTGGCTTCTCTCCGTCATGGGCTGTACCTCTCATGTTGCTTATATCTCTGTGGCGGTATGACTCTTTCTGCAGTTTGTTCGTTAGTGTGCGCGCGCATGTATTATGGTGTGTGTGTGTGTGTGTGTGTGTGTGTGTGTGTGTGTGTGTGTGTGTGTGTGTGTGTGTGTGTGTGTGTGTTTTAGAGCGTGTGTGCGCGCGCGTGTATTATTACCTAATACACTCTTGAGGGTGCGATCACTCTTCCTAGTTGTGCTTGCGGGGGTTGAGCTCTGGCTCTGTGGTCCCGCCTCTCCCGTCCTGTGTGGTGTACACAGAGCAACAATGTCCTGGTGGCGTGGGTCTAATAACGTTACTGAAGCAATTATTGACCCACTTGGGGTTCTCATCAAATTCATAACAAAGTTATTAATAGCTGGTGTATGTATGTGTAATATATATATATATATATATATATATATATATATATATATATATATATATATATATATATATATATATATATATATATAATATATATAATATTGTGACGAGAAAAGTAGGTGGTATTGCAGTCTCTCTAGGCAGATGGAATGCCAATCACATAAAAAAATAGTAAAAAAAAAAGGAAAAAAGTTAAACTGCAAGTTGTCTTCACAGTGAGGTAAACTGTAGGATAAAGCAGAGGGGAATAACATTTAAAAATACTTTACTTTGATAGAAAAAATGAAATTAAACAAATTACAAAACAAAATATCCAGGCTTGGCTCTAATACAAAGTGTGCAAAACAAACAAGATGAGCATTCAAATTTACGTTACATTAATGTGCAAATAAAATATGGTGCAGGAATACTGTGAATCAAACTGACTCTCTCTGTTACCACACCGGAGTATTTAAACAGGTCTACTCAGGCAGAGCACTCAGGAGTAATCTGAATCTTAGTAGGCTAGGCAGCCCTATATATACACGACAACGGCCGGGCAGATGGCGCCGGTTCCTTCTTTAACTGTTAACCGGCTCTCTTAAACTGCTTGTTTCGGATGGCGTGAGCTCCCAGCGACCTAGGTGCGAGGTGGGGTGATGGGCGGTGGGGCAGGTAGACTGGTGGTATTGTCTATATGTCTGGAAAGTAGTTGTAGTTGTTGTTGTTGCTGCAGTTCTTGATTAAATAGACGTGATATGATAGAATAGGTGTTGGTGGAACAGGCTGAATTTCTTCCCAGAGATTTTACCGTGACATCGTGATATATATATATATATATATATATATATATATATATATATATATATATATATATATATATATATATATATATATATATATATATAATATATATATATATATTATAATAAGAGATGTTATAGCATCTTCATAACACTTAGTGAGTAGCAATTATCTTTGGAATGGCTTCACGAAAACACAATATTATCATTAACACAGTTGAATGAATAAAGTTACACAAACTTGAGGTGTTTGAATTTACTGACGACTGGCGTCGGTCAAAAGTAAATCACATTAGAGAGACCCGGGACGTCTAACAAATCGCTAATCGGTTCCCACAGGAACAGTAATTAGGACTCGGAGCAATCAGTCATTAACTCGGCTAATGTAATCACTGTTGGTACTAAACTGGCACAGCACGTGGGGCTCACTGACGCTCAGGTAGGCACAGTACATACACAGTGGAGCTTAATAGTCAGGCACAATTATTGCACAATAATCAGTGGTTAGCTAAGTGTATATGTGTGTGTGTGTGTACTGACTCTGACGATGGCCCAGTGTGACCCCGACCTTCCAGTGAGGCAGAGTTAAGTGTACTCTCTCTGAGAGGTCTTTCATGGGGGTACACAAGGGTACATAACAAGGCCATTATGTAGTCACTCTGGTAGTGCCTTGACCCTCACACACGTAATCAACCACCACCATTATTATAGACTCCCGGGCACTGTGCTCTCTCGGTGGTGTGCACTCGAGGATGGACACGTCGCGGCTGTGAACTCAACACGCCGTACTAAACACTTCTGGGAGATACACTTTCCCGCGCCAAGCTTCAGGCTTCGCGGCGGAAAGTCAGGAAATCGACTGTATCTTTGGTAGAATTCTAAGTCTGTCGCCCCCTTGTCTTTTACCCCTTCCTCGTCCCCCCCTCCGCCCCCTCATCCCCCTTCCCCACCCCCCATCCCCCCCTCCGCTCTCAGAACATGCAATATCCCAACATAGGTTATTTTGATGATTGTTACTTTAATGCGACTTTGTAACAACATAATATAGTTAAAAAAAAAATTGTGGTTACGCTGTAAGTGTGATATTACGAACTGCTGAAAAATTGATGAGTGGCCACTACAACCCGACTATGTTGGGCACGTGTCCCACAGCAACCACGGTGGAAACTTATGTGAGGCTAGCCTCAAGCGTCTGGCCTCTAGCTTGGGATACAAATAGACATAAAGATATTATATTTATATATAGCATTACATTGTCAAGACCCAGTTTTAGGAGGGTGAGGGGAGCTTCAGTCAAAATTATACGAAAAGACGCAGCAAAGTTATAAATGAATGTTTAGGATATAGGACTGTGGATCCCCTCCCATGTTGGAATATGTGGGAATGAACGAGCAGATGTGTTGGCTGCTGAAGGCGCTGAAGGAGACCATACGGAATACTTCATACCCAAGACTCGACTACAAATAAGAGGTATTGTCAGGCAACATCACCGTGACAAGGTAACTGAGGAAAGGAGGATAGAAGCACAAACCCATGAATCTGTACGATGGTACAACATGGTTGCAGCTGGCAATCCCAATCATTATGGACGAAGAGGAGGAGGACGAGGGAGAGAATCAGCAATAACAAGAATTCGTCTTGGATACAAATATCCATGGAGTAACAAATATCGGAATGGAAAAACAGTTGAGCAGCAGAGTTGCAGAATCTGTGGTGAGAGTGACGGACACCGCCTTGACCACTACCTGGGAGTGTGGACACCTGAGACATTAGAAATATATGTAGAATAATAAACCCCACATTGTTTTAAGTTAAGAAAACACTATTTGTCAAATATTGATACTGTTCTTAAAAGTTCCCCCATTTTGCACCCGCAAGATAACGTAAAATTTTAAGAGTTGACGAATGTTAATCATTTTGTTTGAGGAGCTGTTCACTTGAGCAGGTCCCAGCTGTGTCTGGGTACAAGTGACAGGATGAACAACCCAGCGGGTTTTATTCCTATTGGGGAGTGTTGTACATGCTGCTATGGCGGTGTGTCCACTCACAGGATGAGTGACGCTGCCCAATACTGTCACTATGGCGGTGTGTCCACTCACAGGATGAGTGGCGTTGCCCAATACTGCCACTATGGCGGTGTGTCCACTCACAGGATGAGTGGCGCTGCCCAATACTGTCACTATGGCGGTGTGTCCACTCACAGGATGAGTGGCGCTGCCCAATATTGTCACTATGGCGGTGTGTCCACTCACAGGATGAGTGGCGCTGCCCAATACTGTCACTATGGCGGTGTGTCCACTCACAGGATGAGTGACGCTGCCCAATACTGTCACTATGGCGGTGTGTCCACTCACAGGATGAGTGGCGTTGCCCAATACTGCCACTATGGCCGTGTGTCCACTCACAGGATGAGTGACGCTGCCCAATAAATTTGACCCTCGGGGCAAAATTAAAGAATTTAGGAAGTAAATCATTGAGGGTGAGGACTAAACCATACACCAGAAAATGAGGAGAGGATAACGGTTCCGTCCGGTCTAGACCATTATCAAGTCGATTGTGATGAGAGAGATTGGTGAAGATCAAGCCACCCAAGAGGTGGCACGGGCATGAATAGCCCGTAAAAAGGAGAGAGAGGAAGGCGCGGAAAGTAAGATAAGAGAGAGGTGAGGAGGAGGAAATACTTAGGGGGAAGGTAAAAGTAGGGCGAAAGGTACGGATTGGATGAGTGTAATAAAGGGGGTTATAATGGGAGTAAGAATGGGAACGGAAGAAAAAGACGATAAATAAAATAGAGAAAAAGAGGGGAGTTGGCTTATGTTAGGTCACGTTTGTTAGAAAGGTTGGAACATTTGAGTATGTATTGGGAAAGGGAAGAGTCAACAGCAACAAAGCCAGGACTCTGGTCCATGTTGGGAAGGTTGTGTATGAGAGAGATGGTGCCACAAGACGGCGTCTGTGTTGAGTACAGGTCAGGAAAGATTATTTTAGAGGGTGTCTATCACTTGCTCTTTGTATCATTCACCACACAATATATTGCATCGTGGAACCATGATATATATGTGCTAGTTTAGACCTATTGTCTTGTGTATGACCCTCTGTCCTGCGTGACACTGAATACCACCATTATCCTCACTCTAATAAGACTTAATTGAAACTCAGATTAGGCAAAATTTGAATTAATTTTGTCAATAATGATGTTAATCATAATAATCATGGGACAAGCACTACTAGTATTTAATATAATGTTGTGTATGTGTATAGCGGTGTATGGTTGAGGGAGTACTGATGTGTTGGTGTGTGTTTTTCAGAAGAGATGGTGTCGGTGAGCGGCAGATGGCAAGTGTGGCAGAGCCAGTCGTCGTCGTCACAGTCCCTGCAGCGAGTCCTCCGTCAGGTCACCACCGTCAGGGAGGAACACCACCTCACCATCACACACTCTCCCCCACTCTCCCTCCCTCCTTCACTCTCTCCACCACCTACACTCTCTCCCCCGTCTACACTCTTCCCCCAGCTGCTTCCTGCCCCCCATTCCCCACCCCCAACACACAGCCCACCCCTGCCCCCAGAAGTGTTGGAGTACCCCTGGGCGCCAGCAGGGATCACCACCACCAGCCAGCTGAGCATCACCAACAGCGGAGTGGTGGAGTACGACGCCCCAGTGTTGGAGGTGTGCCCGGCCGCCAGCACAGCCACCAGGGTACGCTGAACGCCATGCCAGGTAGTGGGGTGGGCATGGGAGGGGGCGGCGGGCCCCCACCCTCCCACCACGACTGCACCAACTTTAACACCTCCTCCACCACCTGTTCCTCCAACACCAACACCTCCTCCACCTCGGGTTCCTCTCACACGGGGGGCGGGTGCCTCCCGCTGCCTGATCTGGTCGACTACAGTGGTGACGGGTCTGGGGATGATAACTACCAGGTATATGGCTCACTAACTACTGCTGTGTGCACCCTTACTGCTGCCCCTGCTGCTCTCTCTCATGGCTTTACCTGCTTCCTCTACGCTTCCTCTCTCTCCTCTAGATTACAAGTGCATGTATGTATTCACCTAGTTGTGCTTGCGGGGGTTAAGCTTTGCTCTTTCAGCCTGCCTCTCATCTGATAATCAACTGTAACTAACTACTATTTTTTCCAGCCCCCTCCTTCCCAGGAAGCTGCCCTTAACAGCTGTCTAACTCCCAGGTACCTATTTATTGCAAGATAACAGGGGCATCAGTGTGAAAAAAAACTCTGCCCATTTGTCTCTACCTAGTACGGTAATCTTACCCGGGCCACAGGATTAAGAGTCCGCGCGCTGTCCACTCAGCTACCAGACCCCTGAAGTGTGTGTGTGTGTGTGTGTGTGTGTGTGTGTGTGTGTGTGTGTGTGTGTGTGAGTGAGTGAGTGAGTGAGTGAGTGAGTGAGTGAGTGAGTGAGTGAGTGTGAGTGAGTGTGAGTGAGTGTGAGTGAGTGTGAGTGAGTGTGAGTGAGTGAGTGTGAGTGAGTGTGAGTGAGTGTGAGTGAGTGTGAGTGAGTGTGAGTGAGTGTGAGTGAGTGTGAGTGAGTGTGAGTGAGTGTGAGTGAGTGTGAGTGAGTGTGAGTGAGTGTGAGTGAGTGTGAGTGAGTGAGTGAGTGAGTGAGTGAGTGAGTGAGTGAGTGTGAGTGAGTGAGTGAGTGTGAGTGAGTGAGTGAGTGAGTGAGTGTGTGAGTGAGAGTGAGTGTGTGAGTGAGTGTGTGAGTGAGTGTGTGAGTGAGTGTGTGAGTGAGTGTGTGAGTGAGTGTGTGAGTGAGTGTGTGAGTGAGTGTGTGAGTGAGTGTGTGAGTGAGTGTGTGAGTGAGTGTGTGAGTGAGTGTGTGAGTGAGTGTGTGAGTGAGTGTGTGAGTGAGTGTGTGAGTGAGTGTGTGAGTGAGTGTGTGAGTGAGTGTGTGAGTGAGTGTGTGAGTGAGTGTGTGAGTGAGTGTGTGAGTGAGTGTGTGAGTGAGTGTGTGAGTGAGTGTGTGAGTGAGTGTGTGAGTGAGTGTGTGAGTGTGTGAGTGAGTGAGTGAAGGGGGAGGGTTGAGTGTGGACGTTGAGGTTACACTCAGGTCATAGATGTGTTAAGATTACCGTCTTGGATGAAGGGAGGTAACTAGGTGAAGGTGTTGAGCTACATGCTCTGGCGGCAGGTGTTGCAGGGGTGTAACACTGTACATGTGTTGGTGCAGGTGTTGACGACGCTCCCTGGTACACTCGGGTGTGTTGTTGTGGTGTTAATATTCCCCGCCTACTGACTCCCTCACCTCACCAACGTTCACTGTGTACCGCTGAACGTTTGCCAGCTCTGCTCTTGGAGCACCTGGTTCACCCTCCACATCACGTGGTTCACTCTCCACATCACGTGGTTCACTTCACATCAGATGTTGTGTTGACAACACCAAAACCTCTGTACATGGTTCATGTTGGTGGGAACATTTGAGGTGCAGGTCAAGATGGCGGCAGCTGCAGACGTCCGCTTGTCCCGCGGTCTCAGTACACCGCCACAATGATGGACAAATATATTAATATATTTGTATTGTCGGAGACGGGAAGCCCGTTGGGCTTATGGAGGCCCTCCTGTGCCAACTCCTGAGCTTCCCCGGGATGCAACCCACAACAGTTGCCTTACTCCTAGGCACCTACTTAACTGCTAGGTGAACAAAGACATCACATGCAAGGAAAATATCCCAACCGTCTCTTTCCTGCCATTAAGGGAATCGAACCATGACCTCTCGGAAATGAGGCTAGCAAAAAGAAAAAGAATATGATGAATCAGTACACCAGAGCCAGTTCGAACCCCAGCGAGTAACTCTGCCGCTGTCTGGGGATCCCACACTGCCACCACTACTAGAAAAAGTTAATTTGAGCGAGAAAAGCGGCTACTTTACGGGCGGCAGAACGTAATCAGAGACCGGCTGATATGCCTCCATCTGTCTCGAGAACGACAAGCAAGATTAACTAGAGACGTTCACTTGATAACCTGCTCCAGAGGCTACCTGATCAGTCAGCCTGTGGTTAGCCTGACTGCAGGCAGCGGCACACACAAGTTTCCTTGGTCAAGGCCGTCAGCTAGTTTCTAAGAGGCCCGGACAGAGGGAGACACTGATCCCCAGAACGATCTGAAGGTAGCCTGACTGTGTCACTCCCCCAGCGTGACACAGCGGTTATGGCGTCTGTGTCACGCCCCCTGCTAGACAGGGTTCCCGGTTCTCTCTCTCACTGTCTCGTATTCCGGTTCACCCTTCTCCTCTCCCCCATTTTTCTCTCAGAAAAAGTAATATTAGTAACTTTCCCTTAGCATAGGTTATGCAGCCACCCTGGTCAGCATGGAGGGTTCCGTAGTGTCAAGAACTATGGTTCCTGTCAGGTTCCACAGCCACGTGATGGTAAAAGCGGCCATCTCTCAGGATGGTTAGTCACTCAGAAGCGTGTGACGAGTAGTCTGTTCTGGCAGACTTTGGGTGCATTGTGAGGATATCATCAAGGACACGAGAGGTAATAAAGTGATTACAAAGCTCCCGGTACCTCATGCTGGCAGGTCTGAAAAGTCATTGACAGAACACACTCAATAGTGAGGTGCGTGAGATCATGCCCCAGTTACTGCTCACAGAGTTTGCACCTGGAGTGCTCAGTATTGTGAGATCCGTCACCTGTAGCCACCTGCCATAACCCAACCTGATCCTGGCAACCACTGTGTATCACTGTCTGCTGGACGCTTTGTTTTACCCATGTACGTAGGTTTAGGATATAAATAAATTATAACGTTTTATACTGGTGCTTTCAAGCCTTTGGGAGTCAGAAATTTCTCTTGTCAAACCTGAGTGTTTGGAACCATTTAGTCTTGACCACAGCGATGGGGGATACCTTGGTCTTGTTCAACATCATCCTTGTTGCACACTCATTTGGCTGCAGTGTTTGTGTCGTCATGATGGGCTTCGTTATGTGAGATTGTATCAACACAAAACATATTCTAAACCCTTTATTCTGTGCAGCGATCAGGTCATTTATAATTGTTTAATGAGGCGCTTATTGTCGCTCTTGGAGATGCTCTCTGGTTCCTGAAAAGCAGACTTTAAGTCAAATGAAAATATTCGGCATGTGTTTTTAGTATACTGGTAGTTAGTTATAGTGCCGCTAGTTAAGTGTACTGGTAGTTAGTTATAGTGCCGCTAGTTAAGTGTACTGGTAGTTAGTTATAGTGCCGCTAGTTAAGTGTACTGGTAGTTATAGTGCCGCTAGTTAAGTGTACTGGTAGTTATAGTGCCGCTAGTTAAGTGTACTGGTAGTTATAGTGCTGCTAGTTAAGTGTACTGGTAGTTATAGTGCTGCTAGTTAAGTGTACTGGTAGTTATAGTGCTGCTAGTTAAGTGTACTGGTAGTTATAGTGCCGCTAGTTAAGTGTACTGGTAGTTAGTTATAGTGCCGCTAGTTAAGTGTACTGGTAGTTAGTTATAGTGCCGCTAGTTAAGTGTACTGGTAGTTAGTTATAGTGCCGCTAGTTAAGTGTACTGGTAGTTATAGTGCCGCTAGTTAAGTGTACTGGTAGTTAGTTATATTGCTGCTAGTTAAGTGTACTGGTAGTTATAGTGCCGCTAGTTAAGTGTACTGGTAGTTAGTTATATTGCTGCTAGTTAAGTGTACTGGTAGTTATAGTGCCGCTAGTTAAGTGTACTGGTAGTTATAGTGCCGCTAGTTAAGTGTACTGGTAGTTATAGTGCCGCTAGTTAAGTGTACTGGTAGTTATAGTGCCGCTAGTTAAGTGTACTGGTAGTTATAGTGCCGCTAGTTAAGTGTACTGGTAGTTATAGTGCCGCTAGTTAAGTGTACTGGTAGTTATAGTGCCGCTAGTTAAGTGTACTGGTAGTTAGTTATAGTGCCGCTAGTTAAGTGTACTGGTAGTTATAGTGCCGCTAGTTAAGTGTACTGGTAGTTATAGTGCCGCTAGTTAAGTGTACTGGTAGTTATAGTGCCGCTAGTTAAGTGTACTGGTAGTTATAGTGCCGCTAGTTAAGTGTACTGGTAGTTATAGTGCCGCTAGTTAAGTGTACTGGTAGTTATAGTGCCGCTAGTTAAGTGTACTGGTAGTTAGTTATAGTGCCGCTAGTTAAGTGTACTGGTAGTTATAGTGCCGCTAGTTAAGTGTACTGGTAGTTATAGTGCCGCTAGTTAAGTGTACTGGTAGTTATAGTGCCGCTAGTTAAGTGTACTGGTAGTTAGTTATAGTGCCGCTAGTTAAGTGTACTGGTAGTTAGTTATAGTGCCGCTAGTTAAGTGTACTGGTAGTTATAGTGCCGCTAGTTAAGTGTACTGGTAGTTATAGTGCCGCTAGTTAAGTGTACTGGTAGTTATAGTGCCGCTAGTTAAGTGTACTGGTAGTTATAGTGCCGCTAGTTAAGTGTACTGGTAGTTAGTTATAGTGCCGCTAGTTAAGTGTACTGGTAGTTAGTTATAGTGCCGCTAGTTAAGTGTACTGGTAGTTATAGTGCCGCTAGTTAAGTGTACTGGTAGTTATAGTGCCGCTAGTTAAGTGTACTGGTAGTTAGTTATAGTGCCGCTAGTTAAGTGTACTGGTAGTTACAGTGCTGCTAGTTAAGTGTACTGGTAGTTATAGTGCTGCTAGTTAAGTGTACTGGTAGTTACAGTGCTGCTAGTTAAGTGTACTGGTAGTTATAGTGCCGCTAGTTAAGTGTACTGGTAGTTAGTTATAGTGCCGCTAGTTAAGTGTACTGGTAGTTATAGTGCCGCTAGTTAAGTGTACTGGTAGTTATAGTGCCGCTAGTTAAGTGTACTGGTAGTTAGTTATAGTGCCGCTAGTTATATTTCTGTAGAGGTCAGCCTGTTGTTTAACTTGACACTGATAGTCTGTGTGTGCAGGTTGTGTTTCTATAATACCTACAGGCTGCTGCAGTCCTCCCTGGTGACC